ACTTCCTCAACTAAAGTTTGCAAGCTCTTTCGGACTTCCTGCACAATGTTAAGCACTTCCGACCGCTTTTCCTTATCAAAGTTCTCCTGCAATATATTTTTATTTTATATTTTTTTATTTTATTTATATTTTATTTACTAGACTTACCGCCAAATGGAGTTTCTTGAACAGGGGCCACATGGAGGTTCGCATCTTTGTAGTGCAATAATCCCTTTGGTTCTTAATATCCTTTAGACTGGAGTCGAATGTGTAGAGCAATTGCATGGCCAGATAATTGGCCACAGCCTCAGGGTGCCGGATACAGACCCTATCCCTTATCTGTAAATCGGAATTAAAAGATCCACGCTTCTCGCTCTGGTTCCAGATGATCTCGAAATAATTAGTAACGTCAAACGGTACGCCGTACCTAATTGCATACTCCTCTTCTAGTGCCTCTCGCCAGAACACAAAAACACCGTCGATCACTTCTGCAATTTTAGCCTCTGTGAGGTTAAAGGATCTTAAGTATCTTCGCATGCGCTGCTCGTTGCGTTTGTAGGCCCAGGATTTGTTTTTGTTTTGTTTTTTCATGTTGTCCAACTGTACGGGGGCGTCAAACCCCAAATAATTCACCTCAAAGGACACTTCAGATCTCCCATTATTTGGTAGTACCTCAGAGTATATACCCCGTGCCCCGTAATTGGTGAGGTGGGCGCTCATGTTGAACCAGCTGAAGTTGGAGGCATTCCAGGCTGCCCCATCCACCGCTGGAAAACCTCCGATCGACCGGATGATATTGAGGTAATGCGAATCGGCAGCAGGAAACGGATGGAGATCAGCCTCCAGGCAGGCGTTGTAGAATCGTTGGGCCACCCTCAGTTCCCTGGACACATTGAGAGACTCCGCCAGATCCATCCTGTGCAGCAGTTCCTTCGCGATGTCATCTAGTACGTAGCCTGGTTTTCCTAAGTTTTCCCGTCGGGAGTATCGATCCGGCCTTATGTTTTCGAAGTTACCGCAGGCGTACTCGTAAAAGTCGTCACAGGGTGCCACACTCGAGTTCATATATGACTTCACGAGCTCCGCATGGGAGTAATCAGTTTCCGAATTCCTTATCACTTTCTGTTCATTGCCAAATGTCAAGGAAAAGCTTAGTAAAAGCAAGTAGATCGGTAGTTCGACCGAACTAAGGCTTATCGAGCACCGAAAACTGCTCTTGAGTAATCCCATGCTAATCAGCGGAGCTGGTGTGCGTAATTTTAACAAACAGAAGGGCCGACTGTCCAGCTCAGAGCTCGACTTTATACTGTCAGCTTTCAACAATTGTTAGTTGTGCCCTGATTGTATTTATTTGTATTTGTATTTTATTTATTTATAGTTAGTTCTGCCTAGATTAAATCAGCCTCGTAAATGCTTTTTTGTTTGATTTTATATGGAGTATTGGCCACCCTTGTTCAACTTGCAACAAAACTCACACCAGGAAGAATAATAGAAGGATTCATGGCCCAACAATTGAAATTGAGCCGAATAGACAAGAAGAGGGGTACATGTTTATGATTTTTCTATGCTGCTACATTACACTTGTATTAAGGGGTATACAAAATCAGAATTTGGTGATCTTCCTCATCTCTCTGCGATAAGCGGCTCGAAAAAAAAACAAATTAGTAGGGGTATAATCAAAATTTCGTAAGCTTCCGTTTTCTGTGCGATAAGCAGCATTTGAATTGGCTTGGTTACTAGGAAACCAAGACCTCGATTATTGAATAAATTGTTTTAATACCTGGCATTGAATATATCATTGTCTAATATAATAGAAAAAATGGTGCCGGTTACCCGAGATAGAATCGGTTTATTTCTTTAAATTAAAAACTATCATATTTTCAACTTTGAAGTAATTTTTTTAAAGTGCACACATAGTTGCAGCCATCCCGCACATCGATCAAAAGTTTGCGCCAACTTTTTGGGTAGATTTTAGCAAATGTTGCATAAACTACTTTGGACTCGCCTTACTCATCCCCTGGGGAGCACATCCATATCCATAACCACATCCTTAACTGTAGCCATTGGCAAATAAAAAAGCAATTCGAAACTGGGTTACAACACTTGAAGGTAAGCTAAGTACCTCGGTCCCTTTACCTCTTTGGAGGAAAGTTTGCCGAGCAGATGGAACGAGGCCATATCTCATACATATAAATCCCAATTTGCTGGCGAAATATTTTGTGCAATTGTGATTGTTATGCATTTTGCATTTCGCATTTGTGCAATCATAAAATAACCCTCTGCCTGCTCGCAAAAATGGAAAGAAAGCCCAAGGACACGCCAAACTCACAGGAGCAAGTTTCACTGCTATTGGTGGCTAGTTTAGTATTTATAAAGTTGAATTCGGAAAAGGCATATAGATAAGCGGAAAGTTTTTAACAAATGTACAACAAATTATTTACTCGGGGGAACTGGTAAATTGAGTTTCGATTTGCTGGTAATCGAGAGTTAAGGTTAGTAAGTTTGTCTTTGGGAAAATAAGAGTTTGAATTTGGATTGGGGCATTGTAAAATGTTTAAGGAGCAATATAAACTTGATGGCTAAGAGATCTTTTCATCAATAATAGCCCCAATTAGTGATGATAATATTTGTGAAATGCACTTTCCAAGCTTCATCTGTTGCATACCCACCTATTTAAGATTCTCCTGCTTTATAACCACATAACTCACACTCAACACCTCATTTCGGTTGGCATTTTCCCATCGGAAGACAAATTGCCAAATCTTAGGGAGATATCTGTTCGTGTTGGCCCCCATAAAGCATAAAGATACATATGTAAATAGTTTTACCATCGCTTTGAATCATTAAAAATCTTTACGACTTCATATTAAAGTCAGACCGAAAACGGGAAAAATAAAAGAGAGGAGAACAGTAAAGAAAACATTAATGCGTTGCCAATAAATTTGTCTCCGCACCAGAAACTCGTAAAGATTTCCTACTCAAAACCATAAAGCAGTCTCGAAAAAAGTTTGTGTGTCTCAGAAGTTAAAGTACTGCCGACCTGCATGGATTTCCAGCTAAACGACAAATAACTTGGCATTTAATAACTCTGCATTCGGAGGGCCTTTCTCTGTCCCCCCTCCCCCGCCATCGACTTCATTATAATGCAGCAAAAGTCTTGACTTTATTCCCGGCTCCATAATTTAATACTTGCTCGCTTTGTCGCAAAGCGAATTTATGCGTTGAAACTAAAGCTGAGATTGCGGACCTTGGGCCACAAAGGTGTGTTTCTGCGTGCGAGCTTGGATTATATTAAATACATAAATGCGTGAGAAGAAAAGAACAAGACTTTGGTTTAGGAATAAACAAAATATTTTTAATTAAATTAAATATGAGTTTTAGAATTTTTTGTTATTGCAGAACAGAAATATCGTAAAATATTCCAAAAACCCCTCATCTTGTTTTCTATATATTTCAATAAAGTCGTTTTTAAAATTAAATTAAAAAATTAAATGACTTAATTAAACTTTTATTTAAATTCTTTTAAATAATTTAATTTTAGCTTTTTCACACATTTTTCAATGTCACGTTTTCATGTAGTCGTCAAGTTCATGTTTTTCTCATAACTTATTGATATTTTTATCCCCTAAGAGCCTACTTTATTGATGTTTTTCCTAACGCACATGCTGGATAGTGTACACCCCAGCTAATATCGAATATCCCTTCTTCTGTTTGGATAATCATTTAAACATCAAATTTAATAATCAGGCTGTCATGTTTATAATTGAGACTCTTGGGGGCGCAGGCAGCCTGGTCAACGGAGGCTCCTCGATGGGCAATCATGGCAAAAGCCACCGGAATGGAGGACAAGAAACATTTCTCAGAAGGCAAAACATGACACATCTCATTATGACGACTCCCAAAAGAACTCAACCGCAGAATCCCTCGGCTTCTCTCATTTCGCCTTCGTGTGCTGCTGTCAGAGCATTTTGTTTATTATTTTGTAGCTGTCATAAAGTTATTAAAAGTATGTGACATTTTTATGACATTATGACGTCTCGACTCAAGGTTCCTCTTTAGCTTTGCCAACCGAAAAATCGCTTTCGGTGGGATTTTCGGGGGAGTGGAGTGCATAAGAGGATACCGGCTTTTGTTTTCATCGCTCAAAAGTTCTGGGGAGTGAGCCCGAACAGCTTCGCCCTGCCGTCCGGCTGTCTTGAAATATGATATCAAATAAAAAGCAAATTAAAGACGATAAAAATCGTGTCTCGGCTCACGCTGAGTTATATACAAAAAGCGCTTACTTTTTGCGCCTCTTGCAAATGCGAATGTTCGAGTGTCCCAACCCAAAACCGAAACCGAAACCAAAACCAAATCCAAATCCGAATCGGAGTCCCTTCGAAATCAAGTATCGTTTAGGTCTCGCTTTTGGTTCTGGTTTCGTTTTCGGTTGCCTGTTGTTCATCTTGTTATTTGGTGGCTCATAAAACTTGTAAACATCCAACTGATTGTGCCCCTGTCTGCCTTTTTCCTTTATTTTCTGTCTCTGCTTTAGAGTGAGTCTGTGTGGGAGCTCGGTTCGAATTGGTAAGATATTTCCAGATGATATTACACTTTTGATTGGCCACGGTAATGGGGCACTGAGGGCGTGAGAGATCAAAGGGCGATAGGCGATTTAATTGCCCATATGTCCAAACTTATTGCCTTCGAAAGAGACCAACAAAAGCTGTTATAATGGAAGGTTTAGATATGCCGAATGGAAGATGGTTAAAGGAATGGGGTCTTAGTTGAATAAACAAAAGATATGGCTGAGGTGAATGGTCAGGAGGAGATGAGAAATGTGGCACCGAAAAAAAATATTCAAACTTTAAAGATTTTAATTATTTTACCTAAATTAATAAGATGATTAATATTACCCTTTAATTAAAATCTTAAACCATTTATCCAAAAATAATCAAAATTGTAAGCGACTAATTAACATTTAATTGTTTTGAGGGAGGAAATGCAGTTACACTACCCAGTCTTGCAGTCTTTCATTAGATTTAGCTTAAAATTGATTTAACTTAATATTTTTTCCTATTTCTGTTAAGGTATATTATAACCATTTTATGGAGGGTTTCGCTTAGAGTTGCGAAGATCATAACGCCTTCTTTTCGGCGGCTCTGGAGCACTTCTATATGGAGCGTATTTGTCAACATAATCGTCATCGTCCTCCTCGTCCAGTTCGTCCTCCTCTTCCTCGTCATCGTCATCATCCTCTTCGTATTGCAGATCCTTCACATTTTTATCCGTCGACTCATCGTTTTCCGGCATATCGGAGTCCACTTCGATTTTCACAACATAGGAGATACCATTTTCCTCAGTCTTCAATTGGATATTCTTCGGCTTTCTGGCTTTCGATTTCTCTTCAATCTCCTCCGATTCTTCGTTTTCGCTAGAACTGGATTCTAGCAGTTTGGCCACACGTTTTGTGGGCTTGGCTTTGGCCTTTGGCTTGGGTTTCGCTTTCAACTTGCTGCTGCTGCTGGTCTGTGGAACATCATCATCATCATCGTCCTCTTCCTTCTTTAGAAGGTCCTGCATAGCCTGATCGAAATCGAAATCCCCCTCAGCCACCTTGCGACCAGAAGATTTCATTTTTCCCGCCGCCGAGGTGGAAGGAAGAAAATCCATATCCAAGCCGGAAGAAAGCGGGGCCAAAACATCGTCTTCGTCATCCGAATAATTCAAGCCGATGGGCAGATTCTGTTGGAAACCAATCGATTTGTTGGTCGCATCCATTACGATATCCTTGTAGCCGGTGATTTTGCTGCCATAGCGGGGAAGATATTCCGAAAAGAAGTCGTTGACCTTGGACAGTTCCACTTTTCCATAATAACCCGCATAATCGGGCGCTTGACCTATGCCTATATTGATGACCGATTCGTGGGGCTTTACGAACTTGGCCTGGGAAACTTTACTGGGCGTTGGTTCTGGAAGGGAATTATTACTGGAGGCACTGCGTCCTCGCTTCACATTCAATTGCGTCATAATCTGTTGGTTCAACATATCGTGATTATTGCGTTCCTTTAGGACCCCCAAATCTGCCTGATAATCCAGGCGGGCTTGGAAGTGACATCGAGCTATCTGCAGGGGAGATAGGCAGGTGAACGAAGTGGAACAGAGATCTCCCCGTCGGATCATCCTGGCAATATGAGCATAATTCGGGAGGTGTAAATTCGGCAATCGTGAGTCCTTCTTGTCCTCCCTGATTTTCTCCAACTTCCCCAGCTGACCCTTGACGAAATTGGGATTCCTATAGAACAGCAAAATGGGGGAGACAGAATCTTTAGATTCAGATTCTTCCCTCGACCATATACGTTCAAATCCATGGGCCAAAAGCTGGGCCGTAAATTGCAGGGTATTTCGGCAGTGGAAAATCGAACGACCGCTGGACAAATGATCCTGCAAACCCTGATAATTTAGCTCTAATTGAGTTCCTTTTCCCGACCAGTTGAGAAAATCCACACAGCTGCTATCGGTGGCCAGGAAAAGTTTCACGACGAAGCGATAACCCATTAGCGGATGTTCGGGCTGCGACTCGTGAATATAAATGCCCAATTGGCGGTAGATCCTTCGACGGTTTTCCACGGCCTCTTGATTGTTGTTGGAATGGGAAGCGGAATTAGTTTTTACTGCCAGACGAAGGGGCTTTTTCTCTCGCACCGGACTTGCTGCGAATTCCTCCTGCGGATCTTCCCTGCTGTCCAGAAAGTCCAGCAGTTTTGACTCCTCCGACTGTGAATCCTCATCTTCCCGACTTGTTGCCGCCGCGAATTCATCCACCTCGTCAGCCGATTGCCCCTCATTTTCATTCACTTTCCGTTGGCGGCGCTGATTGGTTCGGTTTCTGGACATTACAGTTACTTCGTTTATACAGATTTTCAGATACCGATTTAGCCGGGCGTAGTCAAATTTTTGTACAAACGAGCAAGCCAGAAAAATAGTTTGATTGACAACCGACAGAGTAAGATCTAACTAGAGTTGTCCTGGCTTTGGAAAATATGGGGATAGGAGTTGTTTTCGTTTCGGCAAAAGTGTTGGAAGGTTTTTTAGCTAAGGTGTTTCCATTAGAGTTGCTTTACCATTTTTAGCGATGATTTAGAGGTAGAAATCCCTATCAACTTTGACGAAACAAGCACATTAAAATATTTAAAATTATATTTTTACCAAACTTAAAGTTTCCAGATTGTAAAAATTATTTACTCTTATAAAAAACATTATTATATTATTATTATTATTATCATTATTATTTTAAGATTATGTATTTTTCTATACATTTACTACATTAAATATTAAAGTTACGCAAATTCAGCTTTAGTAAAGGAGCAGAAAAAACACAAAATCCGAAACAAAGCCATTTCATTCTATTTGAATGCATTTCATGTATTGTTTGCAATAAATCTATTGTTATTTATACCCCCAAAACCCCCTGTTTTTTCACCCACCCCTTTGTTCCTAAGGGCGGCGGAGTTCAAAAAGCAAAGTAAGGGAAGCCTTTCAATTGGGGATTCATGGGCTATAGCCATATCAATAATAATGCAGACCCAAAGCGAGACAACAAAAAAGCCGCCAACATTGACACTCAACTGGTCTATAACCAGTCAATGGGACAGAAAGAGAGAGGGCGGAATTGATCAGAAAGAGATAGCTGAATAAGAGTGGCCTTAAATTGACATTTATATGAATATTTTATAAACATCCTTTAATCATGAGGCGTCCATTGCGCACTCCCCAAATTATTCTGATTGATGTACGTTATTTGGATCAACGAACTGCGGAATGTGACCTCTTGTTTTCAATTATTTTTGGTGGAGGCATAAAAAATGCCGACTATCAGGACTTTTACACAATAATTTCACGTGTCACCAGGGGTAAATTAAAATAAAAAGGTGGCGAAGGACTTCAAGCACCAACAAATTTGGAATACTCTATTATATTTCTCTGTGCTTATATTTATTCATTGGCAATAACTTTTCTTTTTGCTATTAATCTTTATACAAAATTTAATTTACTGCTGCATAAATTATTTTAATAATGTATTCAAAGCTCATTTAATTTTTGCGAATATTTCCGCCAATTTTATTGTTCTTTTATTGCGCTAGTTGTTATTCTCGGGGTCCAAATTTGATGACAAAGTTGTAATTTCCTTCTGAAAAACATAGGGCAGCCCATGAAAAGCTGCATAACAAGAACGACGGCTGTATATGACGAATAAATTTACAAGTCCAGTTTGGGGGTAAAAAAAAAGTACCCCAGCACGCACGTGATTTTGACAATGAAACCTCCACTACTTTTTTCATAGCTTCCTATTTTTTGTGGCTCTTACTTTTGGCGGAACGAAAAAAGTTTTCTTTGTTGTGCTTTTTTTATGATTTGAGTTAGTCGTGTGACGGAAGCCCTATATGAATTCATAAAAAAACTACATGAGTTTCGGTTTCAGTTTTATATTTCGACATTGTACTCCTTATCTGGACAAATGATAACCGTCGATCGGCTTAATTTCTAGCGTCAGACGAATAATTTTCATAAAATATAAATGCTAAGATGCCGCCGCCACAATTTTGTTTTGTTTTTGTTTAATGCGTGTCAAGTGGTCGTAGATTATGTATTTTTATGGTTTATGGGGCGCTACTCTAGCGGTTTTTCCTTTCAGGCCTTTGTTTTCCAAGCAATAAAATAAAAAGAGGACCGAGCACGACCTTCTACCCCCGAATTTCCCAGCTGTTTTCCGCCCTTTTCCCTGTCAATTGCATTTTTACGATCACGATTTCAATTTCGATTAAATTCCTTATTCCGAAGTGCGTCACTGCAGCGAGTGATACTCTCTATAAGCTGCTCTTTTTCGAATGACTCATGTGGAGACAATGGAGCTTCAATCCATCAATCATTTCACATGCCAAAAGGCCAACCTTGGGGTCCCATTGAACTTGTTTGACTACTCTTCTTTTCTTCGCCTTAAGCTTGAGCTAATTAAAATAAATGAATATTTTCCCCAATTTTAGGAACTGCATATTAAGGGCCAAAGTGTGGTGGACTTTGACAGTTAGCGGCTAAAATATCACTTTGCCATAAAGCATGCAGAAAAATCATTTTTCAAAACACAATGCTTATTAATGATCCGGCTGATCTGTTTCTTGAGAAAAACCATAATTAAACATATTGAAAGAGGTTACAATCAAGTTCATTAGGGAGAGGAATTCTGGGAATCGCTAAAGGGAAAGAAATTAATGGGTTGATAAATAAAATATGTTTCTAAAATAATTTGTAAATAATAAATAATAGAAGTTATCTTTTTTCCCAAATCGCTTTGTAAAAAATTTCCAAGAACGAAATCAGTTCAACTAAATATCTGTATATCTCCCTGCTTTATCTACAATCTCTCACCCATGTTTAAAGTGACTAATTGAAGGCCTAATGTTCCCCCTTTTTTCGCTGACCCTCAATCGCTTGTGCTCTAAAAAATCCACTCCCGTTAAGACTAGAAGGCAACTCCCGGTTTTTGGTAATTTGATATTTTCGTTGTCCACAAATTTTTCACTAAATATGTTTAAACTCATTTCCCTTTTCGGTATCGCTTTCACCCCTCGTATCTTTTTGGTTCTTTGTCTCTTTGTAGCACTGTTTTGTCTAATGAAGCGTTTAAACTCCCGTTCGTTGATGATAATTAACACAACTCCATTTCCGAACAGTACTGGCAAAAGGGATCTCATTAACCCTTGACATTTGTCACACGAACTCAGGGGAATTTCGTTTTGCTTTCGTTTTTTTAAGTTGAAGGAGTTTTCAATGGGATCCCAAGTTGAAGTTGAAGTTTCGGGCTCCTTTTGTCTGCCGTGCAAGTCAATCTACGCGACATCCCTTTCATCCTTACTTTTTTACTCCTTTTTCCTTTTCGCTCTACGAAATTGTTGAAACAGATGTCAAATTGTTGAGCATTTTGTATTTTTTCTGTTGCCTTTTCCCATTGTATTTGTTTTCCTTTCCATCTTGGTGGTGGCCCCTTTTGTTTTCGTTTGTTTTGGTTCATTGACTTTGCGCGGTTTCGAATTTCTGTGAAATACCCAATGCCCCATACCATAGAAACTCCTCTAGGGTTCCTCAATCGATTTGCAGTCCTCGAATAGGGCAACTTGATATGTCCTCACTTTGGTTCGAAAGGAATCCGGAGTGCCGAAAGTGGAGAGCGCAACACATGTGTCTCTTAAATTTCCTGATCCTATGGAAGATAATGCAATCTAGAGTTATGAGCCAGGCTAGTCGAATTGCCATGGTGAGGTCGTATATTTACAGGCGAAATTATTCCATGAAGTTATGGTTGTTAAAAGTATATCTAAAGTGTATCTGTAAAGATCATTGGGCCTAGAATTTATTTGTGGTTGGCACGGTTCGTAAAGTTTTTAGAGGCGGTGGTAGAATATTAATGGAGTATTACCAAAAATAAATTATGAAAGTAGTTCCAGAAGGAAAATTAATTTTAAAAACTTTTTTTTAATATTTGGTAGCAAATATAAATCTACTCAGGAAATTTCAGCTTGCTCAAGTAATATTTTAAGTCCCACTTAAGTTATAGCATCCGTTTTCCTAGTTATATCTTTTTCTTCTTGTCCTCCATATTCATTTTACACACCTTTCCTTGCGAAGAAGACGTAGGAAAGACAACCGAAGACATGCAGAAAGTGCGAAAAATCATTTTGCGATAAATAATACAACTTCATCAGCGACAAACGAACCCCCAAAAGCGAAGTTCCTCCCCTCGAGGGGGGACCACCCCCCGAAACCCCCGACCTTCGGAGCGTGAGGCGTGCATAAGTGAAATGTGCACAAGATACAAGATACAAAGATACATTCGGGACAACACCGAACGGAGCAGCCAAAAAGGTAATTAATCATCGTCATGGGGCGTGTGCACGATTCGCTTAACGTGCGCCTTTGGCGGTGGTTCCCCCCTTTCCAGGGGCTCACCGAGGGGCTACGGAGGGCAGGGCGCTGAATGAGGGTCAGAGTTTGGTCTGTGCAGAGTCAGACAAACATATTACTCAGGGCATTTCCATATGGTCTACTCGAAAGCTACACCTAAAAAACTTTCACGATATCTTTATGACATAAAATTATAGATTTTAATAAAAGATCGATTTGAAATAACTAATAAATAAAATATTATACTTAAATCATTTTGAATTAGATTATAAGCTACAAACATTTCTGGAAAAAATTAAATAATGTTATCCTTAAATATTAAATTAAAATGTATATCAAATTTTCAGATTCTTAAAAAATTAATAAGTTTTGTAATATTAGGTTTAAGTAAACACATTTTTTTTCTCTGCATCATCTTCTCCTTCAGCTTCGAACCAGGGGCGTCCTGAAGGGGGCGTGGCATGGCGTGGCAATAATCATAACGAGCCAAATTAATGCGTTTCATTCTACATCAAGCAGAATTCCCGTGCACTTTTTTTGCCCACCCTTCTTGGTTGACACATTTGCTGATTTAGCAAATATGGGGAGTTGGCAGATACTTTTCCCCCTGCCATATCATATGTATATGTATGTGGTTACTTGTTCTTCCACCCCAGAATAATATCTAATAATTTCTAAGCGTGTGTGTGGCGCCTACTTATTAGTTTGTGAGTTTTTAAATTTTTAATTGATTGTGTGGATGATTTCAGCGATTCCGCGAGCAATTTCTTTTGGTCAACGGGGCGTGCGAAGTTGTATTTATTTAGCTAATTGGATGCTACTTAATTAATGGATTCCGTTGCCTAATTAGATTATTGCAGCTAAGAAATATATTAATACAATTTAAAGTTCCCGCCAGAATTTAAAACTGGCACCAAGAATTAAAATGGCCGAACAAC